GCAGAAACTTTATAATCCAGCAATTGAAAAAACTTGTCAAGGTTCTGAAACTTTCTAAATTAAAAATGATGAAGATTTATTTCATTCAGCCAAATAATAACTCACCCATCCTCCGCAATATGATCCTTACAAGAAACATTAAAAAAATCATCGGATTTAAGTTAGTTCTGAAATAAACAACTAAATAATACATAAAACATTTTTTTATTACATCTCTTACTGATAAACCGACATGAAAATTTTGGCGAACAACATATATTTAAAGATTCAGAATAATCCCACTTTTTATATAGTTGATATGGAGTTTGTTGTTCTGTTTTTCGTAACATAAAAATTCCGTAGACTATAAAATATAAACAAATAAAAAAAATGCATTAAAGTAATATGATTTTTTACTTTCTTTGTGTGTTCAACAAGGAAATTCTTGTTTAGCATGTTATAATGAAATGCAGAAATTAAGAGTTCTTGTTTTTTTATCATACATCAAGATATAGTGACGATGTAAATACGATAAACACGGATAATTATTCATGAAAAAAACTAAAATAAAGATATTGAAATAAACTCATTATTAAAAACTATAAAAAAAACTCTTCTACAGCACTGTCATTCATATGAACACAGATATATATATGTACGCCAATACTGATAATAAAAAAATATTTCTGTAGAAGTTTATTCTATATAGTTTAATTTGTTTACTGTAATATTTTTATCCAATTATGGAATCATATTTAACAAAAGAAAATGATTCGTTCTTCTATATCAGTTCTTTGTCCTCTTCGAAATAATGTGTCTTCAATATTTATATATACACGAATAGATCACAATAGTGTATTTGCCTTTCAAAATACAATTTAAAACTTATGCTTCGTTTTGTTTATTTAAAAAAATTAAAAATCACAAGATTTTACTTTAACACAATTCTCTAATTTTATATAAATCAGCAAATTCATCTATGAGTTTTTCGAAACTATTATTAAAACCACGCTCCACTGCTGGAACGCACAAATCCCTCAGTCGTGTATCCGACATTATATCACATGCAGTTGTTTTTAGCAATTTCATTTTACTAAATGTTTTTTTCGCAACTGGTAGACGAACGGATATAGTGATGACTGTTATGTCTTGTCGTATATATGTATACAGCGCAAAAAAAAGAAAACCAGTCTTACCTGAAGATGGGCAATGATGAGGATATGGATAATGTATATGAGTAAGGATGGAGATAATAATGAGGGGAAAGATGAGAATAATGATGTAAATTTATTTATGTAAATGAATAAACAAAAAATAAACAGAACTATCTTCAACTATACTGAAGTGAAACAAAAAGTGGGGAAAGATATATGGAGAGAGAGAAAAGAAGCAGAACGGGAAAGAATCTGGTGTGTCGAAAACTACGAAGATACCAAGAGCGGAGGAGATATATGGTAGCTTGATCACGAATAGTGATCATGTAAGTTGGCGGTAACTTAATGATATCTGTTACCGCTAACAATGACAACAGGGATAAGAAATAGAGTCGCTGAAAATACCTGTTTCAGTGGTAATAATCCAACACGGATATCAACAATAGTTTCTCATTTTGCATCTTTCAACGCCGACTTGATAATGATAATTCATAAGTCATTACTGTCACAACAGGCGGCTCTGTATTCTGACAGATAAATGATGATTAATAATGCATTCAATGTACTTTATAACTTTCCATCAACTGAGAAAAGACAGGACCGAACGTCATATAATACTGTGTTTATCGCTATAAAAAAACCGTTCTTTTGCTAAAAGACTGGTGGTAGGACGTCGTCTCGCCATGCCCTACCCTGACCGCGCTACTAACTAACATGATAGATACATATTGTATTTTAGAAATCTCTGCTTTAGCTTCACATTTATATATTAAATATTAGAAGATTTTATTATCCTTTCAAGTTAATATATGAAATAATGCAGTGCTTCAACCTATCTGAGGACTGTCCCTTGACAAAGGTCAAAACTATAGTCGTAGGACTCTAAAACATAATATACACCCACATCGTCACATTGTGAAAGCATTTATCTAGATGGATAGTTATTATGTCTGACCGCAGTTATATATACATGAATTGGAAAGTGAAAGACAGTTACGAAAATCTGACTAAGCAATTGGTGTTGCTATTTCGGTTTAATAAACTAAGAAATATATTGATTGATTATCAAAGTATTTTTTCGTTTTTAATGTGTGATCAATATGAATAAGAAATCGTTATATGTCTTGAATCATCTCTTTCTACAACAACAACAACAACTTATGTGTGTAATTTTCCTCGAATACCTGACGCTTTGTTTACATCGTTTAAATAGATTAACAACTGAACAAATATTTTTTTGTAATTTATGTGAATTCGATTTATCATGTGTAGTAAAAATGTGAATGTTTTTGGTTCATTGAAATAACTTGGAAAAGTAAAGAGTCAAAATCCAAAAAATCTCTATGTTTGTCGGTGTGGGTGTCGATGTAACGGCCACAACAACTTTAGTTTCGTCTGTCAAATCATTTATTAAATATTAAATAGTTCATACCGTTCGGAATTTTTAATTCAAATATCTCTCATTTTTCTTGTTTTTGAAATAGAAGAAACGTTTATGAAAACTTAGATCTTGTAATTTTACTGATGAACAGAACTATGGGTGGAATTGTTTTCTTTTTGATATATTATTCCAATCATTATTTAAAAGACTTAGACAATATTAGATATTTTTTTTAAAGTTTTATTTCAGTAAATAAAGTTTGTTTATGAACATGATTAATTCCCTTTTCTGAAAGAAAGGGTTTTATCACGTTTAAATCATGGGCCTAAAATGCATAAAGTTTGTCATTCATTCTGTCATTCTGTCCAAACGAATCAGATTGCAGCAAAGTTTTTGAAGTCCATTTTTTTAGAGGGATTTTGATGCAGGGATTTCGAATTCGAGGTCTGTTGGGTGACTATGGTGAAGGGGATGGGTGAATAAGTTGATGGGTGGGTGAAAGGTCAAAAAAACATCGAATATTGATTTTTCGAAAAACATATTTTTAGAGATATTTGGATGCAGGGATTTTGAATCCCAGGTCTGTTGGGTGACTAGGGTGAAGGGGATGGGTGAATAAGCTGGTGGGTGGGTGAAAGGTCAAAAAAACATCGAATATCGGTTTTTCGAAAAATATATTTTTAGAGATATTTTGATGCACGGATTTCGAATCCGAGGTTAGTTTTTTAAGATTTTCTTATCCTTCATTTTTTTTATATAATGAACCACTTTTTTACGAAAAAAATTTTTTTTCATATAGTTTGATCACAGGTAATACGGGTCGCAGAATCCGAATCCGAGCTTGATTTTTTAAAAATTTTTTATCCTTCATTTTTTTACATAAAGGATATGTATTTTACGAAGAAAGTATATTGGATACGGTGGGTGTGAGTATTCACTTGTTCGACATGTGCTTAAAAACTATTTCTGGCAGATTGAAAAAAATCCGGTTTAAACGGGACGAGAACGACCACCAACTTTAGTAAGCGAGATCGCGATCGAGATGAGAATACCCTATCCAGCCGGTTCCTAGTTGATAGCTATAATCGGACTTTTTGGTAAAATTTAAATAAATAGTTTTAAAAAAGGGAACAGCTGTTGAAAATCCTGCAGTTGAGTTGTCGTTGATACCAACTGTGCAATAAAATTCAAAACAAATCAAGATCCTTCCTATGGGACAATCTAATATACTGTATTCGTAACAGTTTTCAACACAGTTCTCCTTTTCTTAGTTTCTTCTTGAGAATCATAGTATCAAATACTCAGTATCCTTCTAAGAAAAATTCACACAAACTGCACCTCTTCACTTCAAAGCTAATCTAATAGTGGAGGAAATAGTAGGGTTAAACATGGAAACGGCTAGCGGTGAGTGGCCGATCGAAGGGAGGCCGACGAACAGGTAGACGTTAATTTTAAAGGTTGTTTTAAAGCACAGCTTTGTAATGAGTCTTAGTTAGTTCAAATGGTTCTTTGAGAGCACTTAATGAGTACTAATGTGAGAAAGAATCCGGCAGCATATCGTTGTGTCAGAAGACGAAGAAATTGGAAACCATGATGAACAATACATAGTACTATCTAAAAGTTGGAAGTTTTCGATTGCGAGTCGATATGTTATGAGTGAAATAGTTTTGGTGCACGTGAAAAATCCTAATGTAACAGATGATAGATAGAAAAATATACCATATATGGTAACGGCTAGCCGTGAGTGGCCGACCGAAGGGAGGCCGACGAACGACTAGGCGTTGATTTAAATAGTTTGTCCTAAGTGTAGTAAGTGAGATTTATGGTTTTTTGCGAAACTGTGAAGTGATTCGGTTCTTGAGCTAAATAGAAATCTTAATTACACATTTGACCTAACAACACCTATTCAGTAAAGGACTTGTGAATGCAAACATGGCGTTATTTGCTTGTTATAGCGTGAGCTAGGATCCATATGCAGTTGTACGACCCTAAAAATTTTAGGAGCTGTGTAGGATGGTATCATTTTAAATGAATTATCTTTTTTCGTATAGTCGTGGTACGGGGTGAGCCGAAACATATAGCAGTTTGGTTATGCTATTAAACTTGCTGAATACACTTTAGAAAGAGGATCAATTTTTTCATAACATCAATTTCCCTGATTGTTCGGGAATAGTAAGGTTGCTTTGTCAAGATAATTTTAAAAGTGTAATAATTCTCGAATATGCGACGTCACAACTCTTTAAACTCTTTGAATCAAGTCCGTTTTTCAAAAAATGAGATATACGGCTGCGACTGATCGTTTATTCCTCTAATTAAACATGAATTATGGTCGATTAAGATTTTATGATGAGTAGAACCTGTCTAGGTTTCTTTTGTTAATATGTATTCAAAATGAAAATCATTTTTAATGATAATCATAGGAAATCTTCTTTCAGAAAAGGGTCAGCGAATCCATCGGATGAGCGTTACTTGTATTTAATTATAACTTATAAACGAGTAGTCATATTACCAAAAGTTTGAATTGTTGTACCATGTTGTAATCGTGTTTGATGTGATGTAACTTGATTTTGTCTTTTAAAACATAATGCTGTTCGTACATTTCGTCTATAAGGACGAGATACAATAATATATACATAGAATGTTCCCACATTCATTGTAAAACTCATAATAACACTAATAGATGACCAAAGTGATTCTTGTGCTAATCTTAATTGAGATTTAATCATGGACTGAGTAATTTGTAAATAAATATTATAAACAAAATTAGGTAACGTAGTAATAAATGCTAAAGCAAATTCAGCAATCATCATTCGATTAACTTGTTGTTGAAGATGATTAATTTGTCTATTTTGTCTTGTTGATCTAAGATTATACCATGTAAGAATACTAAATGTACCAAGAATAATCATTGATAAAATATTTGTAAGAATTAAATTAAAATAAGCAATAAATTGTTTATATAAAGCACGATCATTCACTAATGCTGTACATAAATAACCTGAATAATAAATTCCATCTGGAATACAAATAATTAAATAAATAATACTTGATAGAATCACCATTATATAAGCTCGTTTTAATGAAAATAAACGACGATAATATACTTGACGTGAAGTCATAAGAAATCGATCAATACTTGCTAAACATATACATGTAAATGGCATATTAAGACCCCAACGTCCAAATAACCATCGAAATTTACAAAAAACTATTGAACCAACAAGAGGATCAACACCAGTTATATTAAGTATACTACGAGGATAACGAGATGACCATAATGATACAAGACTACCAGGAAATGAACCAATTAAAAATATTGAATTCGACATTTGTCGAAGGGTTTTTATACGAATAAAAACAAATAGATTTAATAAATTACCGATTGTTCCAAAAATAATAAGAACAAACATTATATAACCATCAAATACTTTTCCAATATTTTGAAGACGAACAATTTCATCATTAATTAAATTACTTGACATTATTCAAATTTGATATTCTTCTTTTATTAATATTAAGAATTCTGTTCTACTTTTTCTTTATTTATATATTTCAGATGAATTTAAATCTACATCATTTTAAACCATATAATTAATTAATATCTCATATTATAATTAGTTGTCATAACAGATTCTGTAAATGACAACGTTAGAATAGAGATTATTCTCTAAGAAAATGAAATTTCTATTAATAATGACATGATCTACTTTCTTCTTTAACAATGTCACTACCAAATACATCAAACAATCAAAAACATATTTACGTACTTTCATTTGGTTTTAATATTTATGAAAATTGTCCTATTTTTCTTACTTTTAATTAGGTCAATATTCATATTGATAGAAAATATTGCAGTCTGATTATTCTTTTATCAAAATTCAACTCAAAATAAAGATGAAATCTTTTCTTTTTTTTCTATCCTCAATTGTTGTCTCTTAAAATCAATTTCATGTTTTTCTCACGATAATTAAATTAGATTAAATATTATTATAAACATTTTCTATTGTCAAAAATCAACATGAAAGTTCATTTTATGAGAAATTTAATTCTTTTTAATTATGTATCGTTCTATTAAAATATAAAATTAGACACCGAATCATATCGTATTTAAACAAGAGCAAATCGCATATTAACTGACAAACAACATAGGTTAATCTCATTTCAGGTGTTTATTTAATTTTTCATTGATACAGACATGTCTCAAGAGTCAAAGATAAAGAATAGGAAGAATATTCTTGATTTATTGTTCTCTATGTAAAATTTCCAGTCTGTTCACATTTGTTTAGGCATAATTCATATCTACTGTAAATTAGAAATAAATTCAAATTTAAACAAATATAACTAAAGACAACAACTATCCAATAGAATGAAAAAATAGTATAATGTTTTTTATATGATAAACAAAAATTGAGAACATTAGTGATGAAACTTGCGTTTTATATAACTTTTTCTTTCGAGATCAAGCATAATATTGAACAAAGTTTAAATTATACAACGTTTTATCGAATAAAGAGAATTTTGATTGATAAAAAAATATGTGAAACATACTCCTCAAGATAAATTTTTAAATCTTTCTAGTTTTGAATATATATTAACCGCGATGTTTTCTTTCATTATATATAATTGATTGATTAGAAACGTTCGAACTGATGAAGAATTTTCGATTTTTAGCATTTAATAAAATTGTCGAAAGATATTAATAAAAATTTTATGAGAGTATTTTATATACTGTAGTAATACTCTCGATAGATAAACATCAATTTTACTATTTAAAATTTTTTCTAAATAATTTATGAATAGTTTCCTTCGATATTTGATTATCAATGCTATATTTCATGGAATAGAGCCACTAGAATTTGTTGTGATACAAAAGAGTTTTAGAAGATATTGTCATAATAAGATAACTAACTAAAAAACTGTTTTATTTTATTTCAAAAGGTTTATTTGAGTTTTTAGATTTTCTTTTAATAAATAAAAAAAAATAAAAATTTGATTGGTCGTTCGAAAAGTTTTTTTTTGGAATAGAAACCGTTTTAGTAGCTATTAACTATAATTGAATAAAATTAGAAGAGAATTGTGAGCTTTCAATTGAGATTATTGAATATACGAAAGACTGCATTAGCAGAAGAGTAGATTTTTTTCAATCCAAGAAAAAATAAATAAGAAAAGGAATGAATTCTTTGTCCATTATATAAAATAAAAAAAAGAACAGCCTAGAAAGAATGTTATAGATAATAACATTCCTTCAAATATATAAAAGAACAAGTGAATAAAAAATCTAATAATATTTTTTTTCTATTTTATTTTATTAATTTAAAATAAAAATATAACAAATAATGGTTTGTTATGAAATTCTATCTAGATAAATTGATGAAAGAATAAAATAGATTTTCTATTTGAATAAACAAATGATAAGATTGATACGAAAATAAATCTTGAGTTTGAATCGAAGCTGATAAAAAGTAAATTAGAAAGATAAATGGAAAATGTATATTATTCATAGATGAATGGCAAAATTTGTTTATTATCTCTCATCATATTGTCTTTCTTTCTTTCTTTCTTTCTTTCTTTCTCTCTATCTATCTTTGTTAGCTATCAACAGAAAGATATACATGTCATCGTTTGACTTATATCTTGATGAGATATTTAATCGATAGTTGATGAGTTAAACCTTGACTCTTATCTTCTATGTATAGAATATTCAACGTTATCTATAAGGAAGAAAAAGAAAGATATTCCTAATATAAACTATCTTTCTTTCTCTTTTCTTTCAATTGCTTCTTTGTTTGTCTAGTGTCGAGTAGCATTTTCTTCTTAAACGTAAGTCATGGTATCTAAACTTCTTCTTGTTCTTATTGTATGCTGTAAGTTTTAATAGAAATCAATTTTTTATTATATTATTTCAAAATCTATTTCTAGTAACTGTTGTTAAGTTACAAGTTGATGCAAGTAAAATTTGTTATAAATGTGACGAAAAACATGCACGTCCTTGGTGGAAATTTTGGGCTGAAAAAGTAACAAAATGTCAAGGAGTTTCAGCTGAAAAATATAAAACAAGAACTTCAGCAGCATTGGGTGCATCTGTTTTAACATGTTACACAGTAAGTTTTTTATTAAAATAAAAATCTCATCTCTTCATAATGAATACAATAATAAACAAAAGTTTCTAATTCTAAAACCTTGTTTAATCATAGAAGATAAGAATAAGAATTTATTTTATTTTTCTTTGTATAGAAATTCGATGATGCAGGTGCTGTTATTAAACGTGATGCTTATGGATTTGGTGAAACATTTGATAAAACTGTTAAATGTTCAGATCGTTATCATACATGTTGTGAAGAAGAATTATGTAACAAAGATACTCAAGCACCATGTCCACCAACACGTAAATATTTATTGAATTATTTGTTTTATTAAGAAAACATTTTTCTTTTAATTTACAGCTAAAGCAACACCACAAAAAGAAGTTAAAGCTTGTTATGAATGTAAAGGTTATGATGCTTGCAGACCAGAAAGACTTCACCAAGGAGCTGAAATTCGTACTTCAAGCGTTTTAGGTGCCAAGAATCTCTATTGTTTCACAGTAAATAGAAATACATCACATCGATTTGTTTTTTCTTTCTTTTTCTAACATATTCTTTTTTAATTAAACAAAATAGAAATTTGATCCCAAAACAGGTCATGCTATTGCTCGTGGTGGTTTCGGATTTGGTGAAATATTCGATAAATCTCTCAAATGTGACTCGAAAGATTATTTATGTTGTTATCAAGATTTATGTAACACTCAAACCGCTGGTTCATGTGCTAAGCGACGAAATTAAAATTAATTTAAAACAATATTATTAAAAACTATATTATACAAGCTGTGTGTGTGAACAATTTCCTTTTCTCTTATTAAAAATCCTTCATGATTAGAATATAAAATAAATTTCAAAGTGTTTTTTTTTCTTCAGTTAATATAATAAAGAAGCTTGTAATCATTTAACTTACTTTTCTTTTTTACCGAAGAAGTCAACACTAAATTCAAAGCAGACAGGGATTCATATTCGACATATATTTTATACATGATCAAATAAAAAAATCAAACTTTCATTAATTCAATGATTACTGAATCAAAGAGATCTAATAGAATATATATATTTCTTATACAATATTAAGTTTCACACCAAATTTCAATTTAAACAAGGATGAGTTATTGTTTGATTGTATTATATATATATATATCTAAATATATCTATGATTACTATATAATGATACGAAAGAATAATTAGTGTTATCTATAGTGTAATATATACTTCGATATTCTTATCTTTAGAAAATAAATTTTGTATGTTTATCTCAGACCAAATGTTCTCATTTTATTGTTGACCTTTGTATTTTGTACATACTGTAATCTATTATATTATCTTCCTTATTATGTCTTAGAAATATCTCGTATATACAAATTTTTTCCCGTACGCGTAGTAATAATAAGAATAAGAATTCCAAATCAAAATTTACCTATATTATTATAAGTAATATACTTTTTATATTAATTTTGGTCAACTCTCATAAAACTTCAGTAGCTGATACTTGGATCAAATAGAAAAATTGTATGCGATGATACGATCTTGTAGATATTTTAGACTATATCATTTACTGTATAAGTATCAGAGATGATCAATTTTTTCTACGATTTCATCTGATCTGACAAAATTTTGTTTGATTTTTTGGCTTGATTAGTTTTTATTTTCTGTTTTTATAATAAAATTTCAAAAACAATTATATTCTACTATTGAGACTTTATCAACAATTATCATTGTGTAACTATGAAAAAATTCGTTTTCTCAATCTTTGTTTTTTACTTTCAATTTTCTTCTCAATAAATAATATAATTGAAGAAAAAAAACGTTTTTCAATATTAATTTATTTAAAAAATAGAATTGATTTCTATTGAACTCTTCAATCTGTAAATGATCGAAATGATTTATGAATAGAATTTTATGCAATTAAAAATGAATATATTTCTAATTGACTCTTTTCTGAAATAATTAATAGAAAACATTCAACAGTTTTGAATTTCGGTTTTAGTATCTGTATTGATAAAAATTGACACTATATATATGATATATTGATTTTGTGATCCTTTGTAAAAGATCATATTTTATTCTTGAATACTGACAAGTCTTGTGAAAATATAATTTTTACATATACTCTTTCCATACATAAATATTTCAGAAGAAAAAAAATTGAAAATGATTATAATTAAATAAGATAATACAACATGTAGATATACAACATACAAGTTTAAATATAAATTAATTTTATTTCAAATGATGTGTGTTTGATCTATGTTGTAGTTGTATGTTTGTCACATGAGGCTGTTTAGTTCCATTAGTTATTGGTTGAATTTCTCTATTCCTTATTACGAAACCAAATGTTGCACGACGAAATTCACTGAATGTTATTAAATAAATTGGAAAACTCAAGACAGGAAATGTGAAAGTAATTGAATCAAATGCATTTACCAAACGGCGACCTGTAACAGTTGCAGCTAAAGTATTATAAAAGTAACCATAAGAAATTGTTGAGGGAGCGCATGTTAGGAAGAAGAGACAGGTAGTAAATATAATTGTTATTGAAATGGCTCGATGTCGTATACGTGAATTTTGTACAATAGTTGCATGTCGTAATTGAATGAGATGATAAATTGAACTACTATTGAATAATATCATAAAAAATAAAGGAATACCAATGTAAATTACTAAATGAATTTGATTATATATTGGATAAAGAGCATAAAGTTTTGAACTTCGAACAATTTGTCCACTATCATCACGATAACAAACAAATATAAGAAGATGAAAATTAAAAAGCATAAAAAATATTGTTGTACCAAAAATAATGATAAGAACACTTTTAGATTTATTGAACCAAGTATTTGGTTGAAGACGACTTAAACATAAATATCGATCAAAACAAATAAAGACACGTAACCATGCTGAAATATGAAGTGTCACATAATTAAGAAATGAAAAGATTTTACATGATGCAACTGTATACGAATCATTCAAAGTAAATCCATGAACAAGTTGTAAATAATGATCTAAATTCCATCCATAGACATTTATAAAATCAATCAATGCTAATGTACGCATATAATGTAATGTTGGACGTACTTTTGTATCACGAAATGCTGGTCGACATAATACAAAAAATGTTAAAACATTAAATATTGTGCCTATTATTACCATTGATAAACTATAATAACCCAAAAATGTTACATCACTTATAACAGAATAAATATCTGTACTATTCGAATTACTTGTATTACTTAATACATTCATTGAACTATTATTTACCATTTTGATTTGGGAAATTATTAAATAATCTACAAAAATAATTAACAAATACTTTTTTCTCATAATTATATAAAATAGAAAAAAAGAGAAAGATACTGTTTGTCAAATCTTATCGACAATTGTTTTCATAATTATCATCTTTTTATATAGAAACAAAAGAACCTCAGTACAAATACGCATTTTCTAGTTAATTACAAAGATTATAGGGAGAGAGAGAAAGAGAAACAAGGAATTTGCTATAGGTGACAATTATTTCATTTTTTTAATAAATAAAAAAGGAGAATAATTCTATTTATAAACGTTTCTAATGTTATTAACGTGATAAAACGAGTAAGAAAATAAATGTTTCTAATAAAATAAAATTTTATTTGAAACTTGTCAAAAAGGATAAATCTACTTATGATAAAAAATTAAAATAAAAATATACATGAAATTTCAAGGAAATAATCGTTTAATCCTATTCGATATTCACTATAAGATAAAAAGAAAACAATTTGAAAATTGTTTCTATATATCATCAACGTACTCATCATTATCGATCGTTTAACAAAATTCATAAAAAAGCATTTTTCATTTTGCAAATCACTCAAAATTGTCTTCACATGAAAATACATTAAAAAGAAATTTTTATTCTAAAATTGAAAAATAATTTTATTAATACACTTCTATTAGTCAAATATCTCTACAAAATAGAATATATTATATTAAATAAATGAAGAAAATCATGAAAAAACCTACTGGATGATATATACTATAGATAAATATGACTTTCTAATATCAATATTAAACTATTCCACTAATTATTTCATTTTAGTTCAAATACAAATGAAAATTTCATACAAATAGATCAACTCTAACTAGAAAATAGGTTAAATTTTCATAAAATTGAATTCTAATAAAAAAATGTTAATATCCTTGATTTACTCTGTCACATCCTCAAGTAAAAAAATAATTAAACTAAATGATAGAAGAAAAAATATTAAAGTAAAAAAGATAATCTTACAATGAAATAATCCAAGAATAAAACAATATATTAACGTCATAGATAAGCACTATAATATATATTTTAAATAAATAGAACTTCAAGGACAAAAAATAAAGAATAATAAAATTTATATTAAAAATATTTTTAATAGATCAAATAAAACAAAATTAATCAATATCATACTTTCATCTCCACTATACAAAACTCATATATAGATAAAATCATAAAGAATTTTAATGAAAAAATCTCTTTTTTAAAAATATATCAATTATATTCATATCAACGACGTAAATAGTTGATACTAGATTTTTTAAAATAGATATGAATCAGTAAATGAATTTGTATTAAATAAGATATTAGTATAAGAAAATAAATTGTATGAATTCTAATATATAACGAATTTATAGTAAGAAATAAAATGAAATTTTCTCTTAATTTATTTTTAATAAGAATATATTTTCTAATAGATATCACAATTTTAATAAGAAAAAATTGTTTTTTTTATTTAGATATGAATTTTATGAATGGATGATAAAATTCAAGAGAAAGAATTTTTGAAAATAAAGAACAAAAATTAGTTTCATTTATTATTTGTTTTTTCAAAAATATCTATTATTAAACAATAAAATTCTTTCACTTAATTAAAAAAAATAAGAAGGAAGATGATTTTTTGAATGTTTTGAAAGAGTAAAATTCTTTTGTAAAATATTCATTTTCACATATATATATATATGCAACAAAAACAAATCATTTGCATATGGCAAACTTTTATTTTCTAGAATAATACCAGAGTAAATCTTCTTGTTTAAATGATCTTCATTTTGTTTTAATTCGATTTCTATTTCAATTTTCAAATAACAAAATTGTTGTTATAAATATTAAAATATTAAAAAGTTCATTTAACTGAAATATATAAAAAGAAAATAAAACTTTATCACAATAAATAACTACCAACTAACTCATAGAAAATATCAACTGAAACTTTCTTTCATAAACTCGAATAGAGTCAAACTCTTTCTATAATTATATAATTATTTTTTTTCGAATATATCTTATTATAAAAGAAAATAATAAGTAACAAATATTTTCTCTATTATTTATTATCTAATAAGAAATAATATAAAATAGAAGATAAGATCCAATGAACAAGTCCATAAATAAAATCAACGAGAAATATCTAAGATAAACATTTATGAAATCTTGTTAATTAAATAAGATTAGATTATTATTTCGATTCATCGATGTGTAGAATGAAAAACTAATTTAATCAAAATAATTTCTCCAAAGCAAAATAAAGAGAGAAAAAGTTCTATAATATTAATAAGAAAAATATTCAAGTGTTAGTTGACTGATGCACATATGATATTCGCACATTATGAATTTATTAGTTAAATTTATAAGTAAAGACAAATTTTGGAAAATTATTCTTATAGAAACGCTTTCTTATTTATTTTAAATATATAAACAGATGAATTTTGTTAATTATGCAACATTCTATAGTCTAAAATGTTGATAATAATATAACTAAAAATCTATCTATATAAACAAATAAACTTTTGTTAGTTTTTTTTAAGCGGATATTAATGGAGAATAATTTAATCTAAAGATTTTGTTTTCTTTCCCATTATTTTTTAATCTAATAAACCTTTTTTTCGTCATTATTTCTTTGTTCAATGTCATTTTTTCATTGTTCTACTCTCTTTCTCTTTCTCTTTCTCTTTCTATTCTATTGATTAACGATTATTTTCAATGAATAAATGTTTTCAATTTCCGCTTTACTTTTCTATTATTATTATTATTATTATTAGTTGATCGTTAAGAGTATTACATCTATAATGTGTATTTATTCATAAAATCAGTAGTCAATTCTATTCTTATTTTATATTATTCTCTTCAATCACGTAGAATATGGTAAGCTAAATTTCTATATTCACTTTTTTTTCATCTAGAAATTTCAAATGATACTTGACTTTATTCTACTATTAATTATTTTCTTTTAAAATTGTTCGTTTATGAGTAATATTATTTTTTTTAGATAAAATACTATTGAATAAATTAATGAAAAAACAAAATGGAAATATAAGAAATATGCATGAAGAAACGATTGAAATGCGTGATATTTCAGATATGTGGATGGAAATATGGATTGCACAAAATAATTATTTAATCGAGTCAAAGAAAAGTTCAAGATTTAAAATTTATTTAAATAAATTACGAAAAAAACCTTTATTTATTTGGTTTATTTCTTTAATCCAAATTCTAGTTTTTCTAGTTGAATTAATTCAAAGTTGGTTATTAACTGGTAGTCCAATTCAATTAAAACCATCATTCAATCCAGTTATTGGTCCAAATGTCTATTTATTAATACGTATGGGTGCAAGATTTTCTCCATGTATGCATACAATATCTGGTATAACAGATAATAATTTTTATTATTTTTTATGTTTAAATAATACAAGTTTAATTGAACAAAAATCATGTAGTTTAAATGATATTTGTGGATTTAATCTTTCATCTCCACCAAATCAATGGTATCGTTTTATAATTCCAATATTTCTTCATTCAGGATTTATTCATATTGGTTTTAATCTTCTTACACAACTTATTCTTGGTGCATCTATGGAGAATAAAAATGGTAGTTTACGATTATTAATTATTTATTTTATTTCTGGAATTTTTGGAATTATTATCGATGGAAATTTTGCTCCGAATGGATTTGTAACTGTTGGTTGTAGTGGGTCACTTTTTGGTATAATTGCTCTCTATTTAGTAAATATAATATACGATTGGCGTAATGGAATATCCTATGAATTCATTACTCTCATTATTGATATTATTATTAATTTTTGTTTGGGACTTTTACCAAGTATAGGAAATTTTAATCATATTGGTGGATTTATTATGGGTTTTATATTAAGTGTAACTTTATTAGTACAGCCTAGTAGATTTCATTTTATTAAATCGTGGATTTGGTTAATATTACGTTTTACTTTTTTAATAGTCGCAATTCTTTTATTTATTTTTTCAATTGAAAATATTTATTCAAGAAAAATTCAATGTACTTGGTGTAAATATCTTGATTGTTTACCAATTAATAATTGGTGTCATATTGGTTATTTAAAAACAAATATTACAATTAATTCGACACTCAACACATTTTATTAATACTTATTAGAATATATGAAAAATAATTTATACATAGATATTACATTGAAAATTCAATGATTTTCTATAAGAAATATCATATTAAGAATTATTTTATTTTCAAATACAAATTACAAAATAAAATTGCAAGTATATATATATTTATTGGATTGAGTAATGATGCTAGTCTATATACAGAGATACGTACTTTTCTAATAAATAGATATTATCAGGTTTTATAGTCAATTGAAAATATAAAAATAACTTATTGACATGCTATCTAAAACATTCGAAATTATTCTCATTTCTTTTCTATTTATTCCAATAGACATATAGGAGGGTTTTTTCGATCAACATCTTATGAATCATATCGATCTAAATTGATTCTCGAATTTTGAATTATTTCAATTGTTAAATAGAGAATTCATTATACTTTATATTATTTCTCTATTGTAATCATATAATGGATTAAATGAGATGACAACTATATTGTTCAATATTCGAATAATAATAAATAAAAAATAATTTAGTTAAAGTTAAATATTTCATTAGATTAGAATGGGTAATATATAAAACAGTAAGAATTGAATTACTCTTTGACAAACCATAGAATTGTGCACTATTTAAAATAGAAATAATATTTATTCAACTAGTATGAATATTCTATGTAACTCTCTTCTAGATTTCATATTATCAATATAAATTCGTACTAAAATAATCTGTTCATCAATCGCGTCCTTTTATACATCGTCAAAATGAAATTGTGTGTAGAGTTTAGCACAAAGTGTTTTAAATTCTCTCTAGACTTACAAGAGAACATTTTTAAGTAAGACTTTCACTTAGAAATGAGATATATCCTAGTATAATCGCATTGATTTCTACTGATTTGAATTAATTCTCTCATGTGAGTATAATAATAAAAGCCTTTGAATTCGAAATAAATAATTATTTGATTTATCCACTTAAATATACATCAGACAACGTAAATATTATTCAATTGAATAGGTCTTAACAAGGACCAAAAACTTGACAAAGAAAGTTTATAAAATGAAAGTATGATGTGATTATTGTCAATATATTTCTAATGTTAACTAAATAGACAAGTTTAGATTTCATTGTAGAATAAATAAGAGAAATATTTTATTTTCTTTATCTAATACTATAAAAATGATAATATATCGATAGAATATATAAATAATCAATAATTCCAATTTTCCCTAAATATTCTCATTCATTTTTTAATAATTACATCCTAATGCGCAATTACTGCGTCTATAATCATTTTTGGCCTTGAAAAAGAAAAGATTGTTAATCATAATCGTTATAGTGTAAAAAAACGAAAAAAACATTCTTTTATATTTCAAAGTAATCAGAGCGTTGAGTATGTCAAAAAAGAAATATTGTCACACGGTTAATTATAACCTACATGTCTAGATATATTACTCATTTTTCTTCTAAAAGAAAAAAAAATATTAGAAGAGTATATACGTTAATGATATTACTGGGTGGAGCTAAACGTTTTGTGATATTCTGTCTTTCACATATATCTCGGTTTGCAAAAATGAGAGAATCTTCATTTCTCTTGTAAAAGATGCGCCGTGAAATGCTCTAGAAAAAGTGTATAATCAAACTCTTGTTGGCTTGTTCTCATAGTTAAAATGAGGAAGCTGTAGAAAAGATGTCTAAAAGACTTTTCGTTTCGTAATATGAATTTTTCTTGCAGCCGTTGTAGAGCTTTCTGTAGTGCATCTTTTGAAAGAAAAAGAAAAATATATGCAATACAAAAAGTCCTCCAAACATGACGATTACGTTGAGCACTAACACGACTTTATAGCTATTTCATTTTGAGTATGTGAACAACCAACAGGAGTTTGTTTATACAATTTTTGTAGAACTCTTCACGACGCACCTTATGAAACAAAAATGAAGATTTTCTCATTTTTGCAAACCGAGATATATGCAAAAAAAATATCTTAAAACTTTTATTTCATTCAATATTATTTGAATGTGAAATTCTATTGGACATATATTCAATGTAAATTCAGTGTAATTCTATATATGTCTTGCATAAAAAAAAATATTTACACAAGAAAAGAGAAAAAAAACGAAAAATAAGGGACGATATTTTTTTTTAATGGCTCACCTTATAAAAAAAAGAAAAAAAGTTTGCTTGTGGTTATTCGAGTGTGAAGTTAATGTGATATATCAAGATTGATATATAGTTGATTTCCATATACTTTCTATTTAATCAAATATTGTTTTATTTATACTTTTTACATATTAACTTCACAATTTCAGTGAATTAATTATGGAACCAACAGTGACTACTAAGGACACAGTTATTCCTTTGGAAGAAAAATCCACTATTGTAAATAATCCAACTGTAACACAAGAAACGACAGATGAACAAATACCAATAAATGAAGCAGAAGTTGAAACTAAAAATCCAGCTGCAGCTATAAATAAAGTTGGACAATCACCTCCATTCATGATTATAGGTGCACTTCTTCTACTTATTATACCACGTGAGTAATTATTCATTTTTCTTCTTCTTCTAATCAATCGATTGAAATTAACATAAAATTCTATATGTGATTTTGTTGAAAAACGTTAAATCGATTGAGTAAATCTTTTGTATTATATATTAATATAGTTTATATCTTGTTTTAGTTTTACAATTGTGGATTGGTTGGCGATATGCAGATGCATGTCCAATCGAACCAAGAATACCAAGATATCTTTTCGTTGCTGGAGCTGTTGGAATTTTTTCTGCCATATTAAATCAACTTCGAACTTATTTAACGGCAAAAAGTGCACAACCATCGGTGGACATAACCGGTCGTAAGGCTAGTGTTACTGCAGCTACTGGCACAAATAGTCCATTAAATTCTATTATCACGACTATTACCTGTGTTCTCAATATCTTCATGATTGTTTGGTTTATTTTTGGATGTATATGGATATTTAGTGTATGGAATGATGTTGAATATTATCCACGAAATCATCCTGAGTTTTGTCAAGCATTAGTCTATCGATTTGCTTATATACTTCTTTTAGTTCCAATTGTGCTCATACTTTTTGCTTGCTGTTGTCCATTATGTATAGGATGTATGGCAGTGGTTGGTGCGGGTGCGTCTGCAGGTTTACAGAGCTAGATTATATTACATAACTTGTTTTAAAAACTTTATATTTATATATTAATTTTCGTATATATATAAAAAGAATTTTTATATTAATAAACTATTTCAGAATCATTATCATTTTAGAAACATTTCAGAGAATACTGATGATGAGTAAGAAAAATATAATCGTTTTAACATATGAATAGAATCTCATCAACATTTTTATCATGAATTATATTTTCAATGCATACAATTTGAGTACTCAAGTTTTAAGTTAGTCTCTTAATCAAATTGTCTTCCATTCTTATATACTGTCTCATCTTTCCCTTAGGTTTATTTTTTATTTTAAATTATCCTATTTATTCACTCGAAATTTTGTAGCTAGTACAACAGAATAAATGATGGTATAATATATATCTCTCGTTGACAAATACAAGGATAAATAATCTTCTAATATTTACTTGAAACTTAACATAGAAATGAATCCTAATGACAAGAATTTATTGTATAACTTTCACATCTTTTCGTTACTCGCATTCAAAGATACTAAAATTCTATTTTGCATTGTTCACAAACATTAATAAATTTTATATTTGTATTTTCGAATAAAAGAATAAGGAAAAATATCAAAAATAAATAATTCGAATTAAGATCAGTCTCGCTATATTAAGTTTAAAGTAATTGATTAGTTCTAATGAAAAATTCTATGCAGTAAATCTAGAATAGATAGATTTCTATTATCTCTAGATATTTACTTTTATGAATTTCGTTAGTAAGACTAGAAATTAATTAATTAAATATGAACAAAGAATAATTGAATCTAAAACTTCTACTTATCTCTTTTAAATTGAACAAATTATTTTATTAAAAACAAATTAGATACTTTTATTCTATTGAAATGAATTAGTTTTAAATTGTAAATTAAGTTTATGATCATCTACATAATTATATCGAATTATCATTTGAAAAATAATTCCAATATTATTTTTCTAATCATTTATATAAAGTTGATTAAATTTAATAGAGATTATTTTCTATAACATCAAGAAAATAATCTTAAGAAGAAATTTTCTAATATTATCTATTTAATATTGGAGAGATTTCAAAGAAATTTTGTTGGTATTCTATTAAAAATTAGTTCTCTAATTGAAAAATGACGATATCTAACTGGAAAAGACATTCTCTCCTATTAAAAAAAGTATCAGATGAAATAAATCGAATGAGTAATAGAATATTCAAAAAAATACTTTCTATGAATATGTGAATGTTTAAAGAAAAAAAGCAAAGATTTTTATTTAGTATTTGATTTTATTCATCGAATTTATTTATTTCGAAACTAATCAATCTTCATTTTCTTGTGTACTTTACAAATGAAAGTTTTCAATAGATATCAATCGACGGAGAATTGAATTTTATTTCTTTGATCAAATTTCTCATTGATATTCTAACAGACAAATAGAAATAGAAATCACTGAACAGTATAATAACATCTTGTATCTAGATTTGACATTGAACTTGTAAAATAACGAACTAATAGATGATACAAATTAGATTTTGTTTATGAGAAATTCATTTTGAAAAGGTTGTGTTATGTAAGATCTAGTTTAATTGAATTTTAGTCAAAAATGAAATGATTTAATCGTTACAAATTTATTCCAAGAGTTTTTTATGAAACAAAATTCTTCTCTCCTAAAAAAGTAGAATGATAATACATGGTTAAACGTTTTTAGTTGCTTTTTATGAGTAAAAAATTGAAAATTAATTAAAAATATTTTAGAAAAACTCATTATTGATTTGAAATATACGACAATATGAGCGTAATCTATGAAATTGCATGATGAAAAGGTGTACGTCGGTGTAGAAAAGAAATTTTTATTTTTTATCATTCTGAAAGAAATTCATTTTGTGTGACACAATTCATATTCTTGGTTTGTATGAGTAACTAATTAATAATTAAATCAACTGTCAAATAAAACCTATATAGATTCAATTAAAAGAAGTTGATGAATTGTTGTCTATAATAGAGAAATATCAAATGTATTATTGTTAACACTTTAGTGTAATTATTTTATTAATTTTTAAAAAGAATGAAATTTAAATCTAAGATTTATGTTAGATTCAATGCTTTAAGACTGTAAAAGATTCATAAAAAAATATTGTAATAATCACAAAATCTTCTAGTTATCAAAATTTCTTTGAAATTCATCATAATACAGAGCAATTGATCTTTTTTTTCAATTGATTTAATACCAATTGTATCCATATGGTGAACTGAATTGATTTGCAAAGCTTGCAGGTTGTTGACCCATATTAGCAAAACCTTGACCAGAAAAATTACTATAATTTTGCTGAGCATAACCATCAAATGGAGATCGACCGGTGTTAAGAAAAGCATAGTTTTGACCATAATTAGTAGCGGGCATTTGATTTCCTAAACAAATAAAATTTTTATTTATAAACAATTTCAAAGAAAATATTTCTATTACTCGTACCAATTGTATAATATTGTTGTTGTTGTTGTTGCTGTTGTTGAGGTTGTCCACCGAACATTGTTAAAATATATTTATTTAGAATATAATATTGAAGTGTATTGAATAAGAGAGAATATTGAAATATGTAGAGAAGTGAATATAACATCGACTATTTATATGTTCATTCTTCTCTTCTCTTCTCTTCTCTTCTCTTACCTCTATTATTATATGACCCTTAGATGAATGACAAAAACGCTCTATTCAATAGAAAATATAATTGAAATATTCATTTCTAAACACGGAACAACCTTCTCAACACAATCACATCTATTCAATCATATACAATATTATTCACATCACATTTATTCATATATTCAATAAAGATAAACGAATATATATATATATATACATGTTTTTTATCAGATACGATTTTAATATACAATTCTCTATTCATATTTATATAATAAATTATTTTATCATTATATAAATGAAATAGTTACGCAACAAAATAAATATGTTCATTGAAACAATTCCAAGGTATTTATACAAGGACTAGATTCATATGCAAAAGTCCTTCAATACAATTCTCTCTATTAGAATATTTAATTATTTTCTATAGATCAATCAATCAATTATTCTTAGAAACAATATTCTTCAACAAATTAAAATTAGATTTACACATTTATTCAACAAAAGATCACAGATATTCTCCTTATTTAGTAGAGAGTTGTTTTTAAAGATGATACATAGAATAGATCGATAATAGCTTTATTCTCTTCTAATACTTTCCTAAGGAAAATTAAGATTTTTAAGTTATTTAGATGAGATATTCTATGACACTATTAAATGACATACAACTATAGAGTTCAACTTTTTCTCATTAGAAAATGTTCTTATAGAACTAAATTTAAATGAGAAAAAATGATTTGTTTATAAATAAAATCTGAAGATTATTCTTAATTAATTATTTTATGAATTGAATAATAAAAATCTATTTTCTATTATCAGACGAGAAGATCTTTGAATATTTACAAATAAAACTTATTGTTTTTTATGCGTCATCAATTAATTTTTATATTAGAATTCTTTAATTGTATTTAAGATTTTTTCAATTGTACTGAAACTTTTCTGTTGATTTTACAAAAGTAAAACAATTGTCAATGATTATCTCAAATTTGCAATCTCGATAGAAAACAAAATATATATATGAAATCTATATATTATTTTTAATAGAAATTGAAAATATCTATTTAGAAATTTATAGTTGCAATTAGGGATGTGCAGTGTCAGTGTTCACCGAACACCGAATATAAGTGGTCGGTGCTCACCGTGTCACTGAAAATATCGGTGCCAGTGTTCACTGAACACCGAAGGTATCAGTTTCTAAAATATTTTTGTGTTAAACCTTATTATTTACAACAATATATCAGTGTGTTCACCGAAAAACTGGATGGTGAGCACCGAACACCGGATATAAGTGTCGGTGAAAATCGTTGTCCGTGAAATACAGTGCTCAGTAAACCGACACTGCACATCCCTAGTTGCAATTGACTATCTACAAATTTGAAATTTATTTTTAGAATTATTTCAAGAACGAGAATTTGTAGCGAATGAAAGATATTTACATTTAGGAATTCATTTCCAGTTTTTTAATTGAACAAGATAGGATAAAGATATCTTCATTTTTGTTTTTCAGTCATAAATATTTCGTGAGAAATAAATTGAAAAAGGAATATAATTAAGTGAATATGTCATAGATATAGGAAGATTAAAATATTCACATATTTTAAATTGATTGAAGAATATTTGAAAAATATTATTCAATTAAATTTGATTAAGAATTATTTATATAAAATCTTCTAATCTCATATGAATAATAGAATATAGGATTAAATCAAATCCAGACAAGAAAATCTAAATGATATCAATGATTAAAAATCAATTTTTTGTTTTTTTCATTTGATTTATTTCTAAGAATTTATTAATTCGAAGTTTATCACCGAGATACATTGTTTGACAAAATAAAAAGAATAGTATAAAAAATAAATTTTTCTGCATAATCACCATTAGTATTATATTATTGTTTGAAGAAATGAAAAGAAAAAACTGTTAGTAGATACTGTAGAGAAAGAAATGAAAGAATTTTATGATTGGAACTTTAAGCTACAATAAAATCTATTCTAGAAAAAATAACATTTTTTTTAGAAAAATTTAACAAAACTAAAAATTTGAAAGTTTCCAAAAATAAATTCACTGTTCGGACGTATCGCCAATAAAGTATTTTCAACGAAAGTTGATAACGATTTGTTGTGTTTATAAGGTATGTCGATATGAAGTAAACATTATATATTCATATCTAACGCCATTATCTTACCAAAACATACATCATTCCATTAAAATCATGTTCAGTTTTTTTGAAACATTATATATTCGCACAAAAGCGTCAATTTTACATCGACATATTGGACATGATCTTAATGCATGACCACATGGAACACATGTAACTAAGTGACCACAAGGTAGACATGCAAGTCGTTTTTCTTCCGTCAAGCAAAGGACACAAAGATTGGATGGTGTTAAATTATGTGGTAACTCTTGTGCCTGAGTACCAGTTGCTGTTGATTGTATTATTTTAAGACGGGTAGTTATTGATTTAATGACATCTATTATTAAAAAGATTAAAGTAATTAAGAAGATAATAGAATAATATCAATACCTGGCAATCTTTGCAGTTCTAGTTGTCTCATTCTAACGCTTGGTATAACAATATTTCCAGGACTGTTACCATTAATATATTGAATATATGGGTGAAGAATTCTACAAGCTATATAAAGATCAAGTTCAGAAACAAAATCACCTCCTAAAAAAATTTCAAATAGAAATATTATCAAACCGAAGTTCTTGCATTATACCTTTGATTTGTAACTGATCTTCCCAACATTGTCTAACAATTGATGCTCCAAAAATCCTTGTTGATCGCTGTGATATAGGTAAATCTAATCGAGCAGCGACCATACGTTTTGTTGTATTATCAGCATTAGGTAGAGCTGCTAGACGATTAATAGCCAAAATATTCATTCTGGATCCACTATTACGGTTTCTTTCAAACCCTGAATTAATTAGGAGTTGCACTAAATATAAAAAAACAAATTAATTCATCAATAAAAAATATTAAATTCTGAGAAAACCTTGTTGAGAACGTTGAGATCCCACACCATTTCGGTACACGTTATTCTCATTAGATAATTGTCGAGCATAAGTACAATGAGGAAACCATCGTAAATGTTCTCTCGTAGGATCATTATTTGAGTTCCAGTTCTGTAATGATCCAGTGCAATAAAAACAGGTGACAGTATCTGCCATATCTGTATAAAAAAATCCAGCTCGAACAAGATCATCAACAGATGGCAAGTTTGTATAAGGCCAGTTATTAAATGACTCCACTCGTTTGATTAATTCATTATATTGAGAGTTAGGGGATGTTTTGGCGATTATTTCATATTGAGTTAAATCGATAGGAGATGAGACATTTATAGGAGAATGAGTTACATTTACTGTTGGACTGAGCCCAGTATTAATGACAGGTGGTGGTGGTGGTTGATAGTTAATTAGTCTTAATCGTACATATGAGCAATTAGGTGAAATAGCTCTATGAATCTCACATGGATCATCCTTATTTGGTATCCATTGTTGACAGATAAGGTCACAATGAATACATATAACACGATCACCAAGGTTAAACCCGAAAAATCCAGCTTGTTTTATTCGATCAATAAATTCTGATGAAGAATGTGGCCAATGAGAAAATGTTCGTCGTCGCACTTGTTCCAAAGTTTGATTCTGTGCGAAGACTGGAACATCAGATGTGTCATCATTTACTTCCATTGAAATTCGATCATCAGATGTTTGATTTTGTGCGAAGACTGGAGCATTAGATATATCATCATTTGCTTCCATTGAAATTGGATCATCATCATCAATATTATTTGATTGATTAATAGACATGATTAAAATAATAAATAATTTATATCTTGATTAATAATGTTTTTTTGAAAATGGTTTAGATCTAAAAATTTGATAAGAAAAACGTTATTTGATATAATTTATCAGAAAGAAAAAGTTGAAATGTAATTATTATACAAATTTATTCATATAATTTTAGAATTTGAATTTAATTCTATAATAGATAAATGAATTATCTGTCTTTTTGAAAGAAGTCTATTTCACTGAATAAATATAGAATTATTATTAGATAAATATTTTTAATTTGTAAATAGCCATTTTTAAAAGATGATGAAATATATAAAACTTCTTCAAATTAATTTAGGTTTCAACTCAAAATAGTTTCTCATCATGCAAGTAATCAATACATAAACACTAGCATCGAAGTCAATTGATATTATTGCATCATTATGAATATAAAACTCAAATTTCTAAATATAAATAAATGTTTGTGTAAATATCAATGTTAATACAAAATACATACGTACATTTCGCATTAGACTATGTTATACTATTGATCATATTTATTTTTACATTCAAATATTTTTTTTATTACAAATAAGAAACATGAAAATAATAGAGCAAACTAACTACACTTTATCGAGTAACATTATGTTTATGAAAACAGAAAAAAGTATATACTTAGTCATGGATACTTGCAACCCCTGCTTAATAACGATGAATCAGTAACAGAACAGAGTATACCTGAAGAATTGTTTATTTGAATTTAGCCAATGATTTTTTTCTTCAATAGAGTTTTGGAGTAAATAATTTTTTATTTAAAACCTTCGCTCGTAAATTTCGTTTGCGATAATTTTATTAATATTTAATAAATTAAAAATTACACTTTTTAGTATCATAATATTGTTGTCATTACCATTTGATGTAGTTTCATTTCTTTCTTGGTTGTTTTTTTTCCCAAACTTATAATTTGTAAATAAAAAACAAAAAAGTCATAGAGTATATTTTTCTAGAGAACTTTATTTTTTTTTTTCGAATGTGTTTTAATCATTATTAGAAGGATATTTTCATATATCAAATTCTATGTATTAAGAGTAAGATTACAATAGAAACAATTTCAAACTAGGAAATTATATAAATTAATAAAAAAGATCTTATGGCTCTTATCTCTAAACGTGAAAAAGTCTGATCTAATTTACTAATCCTAACGTTTTTATGATCAGTGGATAAATATATAGAATCTGATAATTAATAAATGAATTTTAATTATATAAATGACAATTATTTCATATAATATATTCAATCTAATATTCATTTAGTTTTGTAAAAAATTCGTTTTCATTAAATAAAATCAATGTAATTATTATTTTATTTTATTTCTTTCTCATATTTTAAAATCAATAGTCAAAATATTAGTTGGTAAGAGTAGATTTATTCTATAGTTTGACAAAAAATAAATCAAATGTAAAAGTCTTTTATAATTATTAATCAAAAGACAACTGTACACATTTATTTCAATTATAAAAAACGTGAATTTTTTAAAATAATTCTTATTGATAATACATTTTAATGTTATTGATTATTGATGTAAATAAAGATCAATATTATCAATATTTCCATCATTATCATATCCTTGAAAAAAATTTATTTTAACCATTACTAAGAAAGATCGAGCTCCAACAGGTACAACTCCATTAGATGATTGAAAAAGTAATGATGTTTGATTTGATCGTTGTGTATTTGTTATTGGACCAAGAGTAAAACTACTACCTACTTGTTGATTTATTTGATTTAAAAATGTTAATGAAACTTGTGCATTATCAGTTTGCCCTTGATATCCACCAATCCATGCAGAGAAATTGAAATAGATCGTTTGATTATCAATCAAAATAGGATTTATTAAATTACTCATATTTACATATTGCCACATTGAACTATCGAATGGTGATGGTCCACCATAGAAAAAACATCGTCCACGATTACTGGAACAAAAACAAAAGAAAGAATTTAATAAAATAATTATTTTTCATTTTATTTTACTTTGGTCCAGGATCTGTCGATAATATATTAGCTTCACTATTATTATAATATACTTGTGTTATTGATCCATTAAAATTCCAACCTGTTGGATGTACAACACTATTATTTGTTGAACATGATCCACTTTCTCCATCACCATTTATTAGCCAATTTGATGGAGATACTAAATAAATAAAAAGAATTAATTCATTAAGAATACTCAAAGGAAAAAACTAGATTTATCATTGTAGAAATTTCAAATCTATAATTCATTATTGATAATAGCTGAATAATCTCTTATAGAAAACATACTTATTGTAGTTGTACTTGTAGTTAATGTTGTAGTATAAGTAGAAGTCATAGACGTTGTCACTATTGAGAATATAAATATTTATTTTAAATAAGAATATGAAAAGATTTTTAGTTAAAAACTGATTTTATATTTGATAAAATCAAATGGAATTTTCGTCGAATAAATCATCATAAGAATAGATTTATTAAAATCTCTAAAATTGATTTGAAAATGTTTTTTCATCAAAATTAGAAATGAATATAATATTATTCTAGTTGCAACAATTAATAACTAATGTTAATGTAGATTTAGTTTCTTTCAATATTTACTTTTGGAATTATGTAGAGAAATAAGAATAGCAATAGTGACAATTAATCCAATAAGTATTAAAGCTGCACATATCAAACAACAACACCATAATTTTAACCATGGGAATGCAATACTTCTATATAAATAAGAAAAACATTTCATTTAAATAATGTATGAGAAAAAAAACACATACTTTCGTCGATGATTTTCTTCTTTATTTTTATATCTATTCTCGAATAGATTATTGTTCGAATAATCAAATAAATTCCTTTTATTTAGACTAATTCGAGTCTATTAAATTACAAATGAAATCTCTTTAATTTAGTTTAACATCACTCACCTGTTGATCATGGGGAACTACTTGATTGTTGTTCCATTGATATGATATTGGTTGAATAATGATAGAAGGACGTTTTACATTGTCAGATAGAATAAATCTCTTTAAAATCATCATAAAAAATCTAAAGAAAAACGTTTGAAAATAAATTCTTACATTATTCATTAATTGATGTTGATTAATTTGTTCTATTGATTGATTATTCAGTTGAATTTTATTAACATGAATTATTTTTACCATTATTAATTTCTATTCAATGAAAATATCGTTTATTATAGTTCTTTGATGAATATAGAATAATATTAACAAAATCTTATCGACATCTTTTTATAGTTATTCTATTAAATAAAGAAACCATTCTAATAATGTTGATATACAAATTCTAATTTCTTCTATTGATTTAATAAGAAATATCAAACTGATCACAATGACATTTTTAACTTTGATCTTCTTATAATTATTTGATTTATAAAACAAACTCTTTAGAATAACGTGACTTTATTTATTTAATATTGTTAAAATTATTATACGATGAGATTAGTTTATTTATTCGAAGCCATCAGAGTCAACGTTGTTCGAATATATTTCTTGTCATATTAAAACAATCATCTCGTTGTGAAGATATGAAAGAACCATTAATTGTGGGTGGTCAAGTACCTCGCACTTTTCCTCTTGTGTAAATCAGTATGATAGTTAGAAATGAAGACGAATGTCGGTACAAATGAAAAGATATGAATGTGGATAAAAGTGGATACAATATTCATTTCTCTTCAATCTATCTATACTCATTGACAAACTACATCAAAAATTTTAATATCCTCATCTTCAATCAAACTATAAAGATATTTCTTCTGAACAATCGATTTCAAATAATCAAATAATAGAGAATATTTGTCATTACTATCTATCTATATATTTCGTTCATTTATTATGATGTCTTTAAGTGACATCTACTTGAAACATAAAATCATTTAGTTTATAATTTGTTTGATATTTTAACAAATAGATAAATTATTATATTAGATTCAAAAACGTTTTTTTCAACTCAACAAAAGTCTTTCAGATGTTAAGAATATTTTCGCATCGTAATTTAGGATTGCTTTATGCAAATATTCAAGCAAGAATCTCTCTTATCAGATCGTATTATGATTTAATTAGTGAAATGAAAAAATTCAATGATAAAAAACAATTCCGAAACGCATTGAAATTATTTTATGAATGTGAAAAATCAAATAATGAAATGATTTCAGGTGCAGCTGTAAGTCAAGCATTAAAATCTTGTACAAATATGAAAGATTTTCAATCTGGTTTAATTCTTCATCAACGATATTCATCTCAAATAGAAAAAAACAAATATTCATTATCATCACTTATTCATTTTTACAGTAATTAACATTGAATCGAAATTGAATTAGATCTTATCGAATATTTAGTGCAACTAGGAGATGTTAATCATGCTCAAATACTTTTTGATAAATTAAAAAGTAAAACAGTTGGTATTTATGGAGCAATGATGAAAGGTAACAATATTATTTATTAATTAAAATATTAAATATTGAATTTTATTTATTTTAACAAAATAGGATATATTAAAAATAATATGGCACAAAAAGCAATCGACATTTTCTCTCAAATTACAAATCCAGATGAAAAAAATATTTCATTGTTATTTAATGCATGTGCTCGAATTGCAACTGATGAAGCATTAAATTTAGTAAAACAAGTTTTATCTAATCTTCCAGATCAATATCAAAATGATAAATATATTTTAACAACTGCTTTCGATGTTTTTATTAAATGTAAGGATTTACCAAATGCTGAAAGAATTTTTTCAAAACTTCCACAAAATACAATTAGCTATGGAAATTTAATGAGTGCATTTAATAAAAATAATCAACCACAAAAAATATTCGAATTATATGAACAAATGAAAATAAATCAAATTCAATTAAATCCATCAGTTTGTGTCTTATTAATCAATGCATGTTCTGCTCTTGGAATATATTCAATATCAAAATCAATATCTGAACAAATTCCTAAATCATATTTTGATAATATCTTTATTAACAATGCATTAATTGATATGTGGGTAAGA